GTGCCGTCCTCCTCACCCCGCGCCGTCCTCCTCACCCTGCACCGTCCCCCTCACTCCTCACTGTCCTCCTCACCCGGCACCGTCCTCCTCACCCTGCCTCCTTCTCTGGTGAGCTGACCAAGGTGGGGACCTGCTGGCCTCACTTGGATGGCACCTTCTGGACAAGAGTCTGTGTACTGAGGAGGCCCAGCACCAGGCTCCAGCTCAGCCCATGTGCTCAGAGCACTGGGAAGGGTGGCCAAGCCATTGGGCAGAGACCATGCTTTTACAAGTGGACACTAACAGTGGGAGAGCCAGGATGGAGCCTGGGTTCTACACCAACACTGGCCCTGTGTCCTATCTGGGCTGTGAGCCCTATGGCAGAGCCAACTGGACTGCAGGTGGTTAGGAGAGGAGAGAATCTGGCACTTACAGTTGTGACAGGTGGCCCCGCTGTAGCCGGTCTCATCGCAGGTACATTTGAAGCTGTCCCAGGTCTGTGAGCACTTCCCGCCATGCTCACAGTGGTTGGGCACACACCTGTGGGGAGAATCAATGCCAGTGAGATCCAGTGACCACGTCCAGGCTAGCCAGCCACATCATATCCCAGTGCCAGCCCGCCTGCCCAAGGCCATTAATCCTCGTTAGTTTCAGCAGATTAATATGATTCAGGATAGGAAGGGCCAGCCTCACAGAGAAGATGTAATGCGACCTGGCGGCTTTGTTAGCCAGAAAAAAAAGAGGAAATCCACAAACAGTGGAAGGTGCGTTCACACACCACAGACCCGTTTCATTTTCCTGTGACTCAGAGATGCTGAACGAGGAGAGACCGGTGCCGTCTTTTTTCTGCCTGTGCTGGCCTTCCTCCAGGACATGGCTGGGCTGGGAGGCACCCTGGATGCCCACCGTCTGAGGCTCCGAGATGACACCAGGGCTCAGTCAGGGTGCTCTGTGCTTCCCAGTGAGGAGACCCCTGAGCCTTCCCAGCTCCACGCCACGTCCCTGGAGGCCGGTCCAGAGGAGCAGGTCTGTGGCTGTGCAGTGTCTCCATCTACGTGTGAGTGTGAGCAAGAAGGCCCTCTGGCCCCCAGTCTCTCCCCTCAAGCAGTGTGAATTCACCTCCCTCCTGAGCTGCTGCTCACAGAGCACAGAGGTGGGGTGGAGACTAAGTGGGGTGAGGGGACCACGGTTCCTGGGAGCAGCTTCACAGCTGGCTGTTCCTGAGGAAGATGGAGCTGGGGTTCATTCTGGAACATTCCAGCTTCACCAGCACAAGGCTTCCCTTCTTCTGGGTCCTTCCCGATCACCCCCTCAGACCTTTTCTCTAGAGCCCCACAAGTGGATTATTTGCAGCTATGGTGTAAATGACAATGTTGTTGTTATGCAGTGTCGAGTCACCTGTGACTCATAGCGACCCTGTGCACAACAGCCCTAAACCCTGCTCTATTCTGTGTTAATCTTACTGTCTCAGACACACCTACCCCTATAACCCCAATCACTGAATCAATCCATCTCATCGAGGGTCTTCCTCTCCTGCACTGTCCCCCCATCCTCCCAAGTATGATGTCCCTCTCCAAGGACTAGTCCCTCCTTGCAACATGCCCAAAGTATGTTAGATGAAGCTGCAGAATCCTTGCCTCCAAGGAGTGGCCTGGTTTAACCCTCTCCAGGATGAACTGTTTGTTCTCCTAGCAGTCCATGGTATATTCAATACTCTTCTCCAATAACACAGCTCAAAGGAATCAATTCACCTTCTATCATCCCTAGTCATAGTCCAACTCTCTGATGCATAGCAAGTAATTGCAAAGACCATGGCCTGTATTTCAGTTAACAGATGCTGCCCTGGACGTGCTCACCAAGTTGTGCCAAGAAATCTGGAGAACGACCACTTGGCCAACTGACTGGAAGAGATCGATATTTGTTCCTATCCCAAAGAAAGGCGACCCAACCGAATGTGGAAACTACAGAACAATTTCACTGATTTTACATGCAAGCAAGATTTTACTGAAGATTATCCAAAAACGACTGGAATAGCACACCAACAGAGAACTACCAGAAGTCCAGGCTGGTTTCAGAAGGGGTCGTGGTACTAGAGATATTGTAGCTGATGTTAAATGGATCTTGGCTGAAAGCAGGGAATACCAGAGGAATGTCTATCTGTGTTTCATTGACTATGCAAAGGCGTTTGACTGTGTAGATCATAACAAACTGTGGCTGACTCTGAGAAGAATGGGAATCCCAGAACACTTGATCGTTCTAATGCGAAACTTATACTTGGACCAGGAGGCAGTCATCAGAACAGAGCAAGGGAACACTGCATGGTTCAAAATTGGGAAGGGCGTATGCCAGGGATGCATCCTATCTCCATACCTTTTCAACCTATATGCAGAACAGATTATCCGGGAGGCTGGGCTCTGTGAGGAGAAATGTGGGGTCAAGATTGGTGGACGACTTATCAACAATCTGCGTTATGTGGATGACACAACCCTGCTTGCTGAAACTGAGGAGGACCTGAAGCGCCTGCTGCAGAGTGTCAAGGACTGCAGCCTACAATATGGATTGAGGCTCAATGTCAAGAAGACAAAGATTCCCACCACTGGACCAACAGGATGGATGGTGAAGAGATTGAGATTGTACACAGCTTTAGTTTGCTTGGCTCCATAGTCAACAGTCTTGGCACCAGCAGCCAGGAAATTAAAAGGCGCATTGTCATGGGAAAGTCTGCTGTTAGGGACCTCTCCAAAGTGCTGAAGAGCAATGGTATCTCTTTGGAGACTAAGGTGCGTCTGATACAGGCCATGGTTTTTGCAATCACTTGTTATGCATCAGAGAGTTGGACAATGACCAAGGAGGATAGAAGGAGAATTGATGCCTTTGAGCTATGGTGCTGGAGAAGAGTATTGAGAATACCATGGACTGCTAGGAAAACAAACAGATTTGTCCTGGAAAGGGTTAAACCGGGTGGTTCCTTGGAGGCAAGGATTCTGAGGCTCAGTCTAACTTACTTTGGACATGTTGTGAGGAGAGACCGGTCCTTAGAGAGGGACATCATGCTTGGGAGGGTGGAGTGACAGCGCAGGAGAGGAAGGCCCTCTATGAAGTGGATTGATTCAGTGACTGGGATAATTGGGATGGGAGTGTCAGAGACAGTGCGATTGGCACAGGACAGAGCGGAGTTTAGGGCTGTTGTACATAGGGTCGCTATGAGTCGCAGGTGACTCGACGGCACATAACAACAAACAACAACAACAACATGGCCTGTATCAAGTGCTCCTTAGTCTCCAGACTGACACTATTGCTCTCCGGTGCTTTGGAGAGGTCTCTGACAGCAGACTTTCCCAATGCAACTCATCTTTTACTTTCCTGGGTGCTGGTACCAAGAATGTTGACTGTAGAGCCAAGGAAACTGAAACTGTTGACAAACTCAATCTCCACCATCCATCATGATGCTGCCATTCGGCCCTGTGGTGAGAATCTTTGTTTTCTTGATGTTGAGCTTCAATCCATATTGAAGAGTGCAGCAGTCCTTGATCTTCTGCATTAAGCGCCTCAGGTCCTTCTAAGTTTCAGCAAGCAGGGTTTTGTCATCTGCATGGTGCAGACTGTTGATGAGTCTACCTCCAATCCTGATGCCACACTTATCCTCATAGAGTCCAGTCTTCCAGATAACCTGTTCCTCATATAGATTGAAAACATATGTAGATAGCACACATCCTTGGCTGACACCTTTCCCAATTTTGAAGCATGCAGCATGTGCTCTGTTCTGACGGCTTCTTCCTGGTCCAAGTATAGGTTTCTCATAAGCACAATCATGTGTTCTGGGATTCTCATTCTTCTCAGAGTCAGCCACACTTTGCTGTGATGATCCACCTGACAAGAACAATAAATAACAGAAAACCAATTAGAAGACTGAGGTGCATCTGATTCAGGCCACGGTGTTTTCAACCAGTTGCTACGTGTCTGAAGAGCTGGACAATAAATGAGGATCAGTCAATAAAGCATTGAAGCCTTTGAACTGTGGTGCTGGAGAAGAGCACTGCCCCATGCGTTGTTAAAAGAACAAGATAACATGCTTTGGAGAAAGTTCAGCCGGAGTGCACCTTGGAGGCGAAGACGGCCAAGGTTTGCCTCACTTTGAGCACGTGGCTGGGAGAGGTTATTCTTTTTTTTTTTTTAAATTTAGTTTGTTTACTTTTCATTTCAATGAACATCTACAGAGATTTTGGAATTCCATTCATTCATTGTTGCACCCTTCTCCCTGCATAAACCCCTTCCCCCTCCTCCCCTTTGCTCCTCTCCTTGAAAAGCAAAAGAAAAACTCCCTCATTGGTACACAATCCCCCCGCACCTCCCCAAACCCCACCCCCTACCCCCAAATATGATCCACTGTGCCACCCTCATTGCGTACTCCTACGATAAAAATAATGCCCTAAAATATAATACTTTTAGACTATTCTCTACCCCATAGACTTCAATGCCGTAAACATCATGTTTGGAAAGGGTCAACGAAAGAGAGGAAGGCTCTCAGTGAGATGGATTGACACAGTATCTGCAGCGATGGGCTCTCGTGTGTTAGAGAAATGAGGATGGCAGGACAGGGCAGGGCTCAGAGGTGCTGTGCTTGGGGTCGCTATGAGTCATACTCGATGGCACCTAGCAATAGCACCACCACCTTATTGTAACTTTTGCAAAAGTACTTTCATTTTCAAAAGGCCTCTGTTTTACAGGTAACAGACACGCCGATGCCCCTGGATGGGTGTAAGAGTAACACCCTCATACCAGCTTGAGGGGAAGAGAGATTTTTCTCTTAGGGCACCAGAGTTCTCCCACTTAAACCTTCTGTTCTTCTCATCGTTCCTGCACTCTAGGGCAAGGAGTCACTCCCCTTTAGCCAAATCGTATGACTAACACTGACCTTCTGTGGAGAATCGATAAGCTCTGACCCATGGCCACTGACCAGAAGTTCTCAGAATAAAACCCAACACAGAATTTTTGCACTCCATTCTCCTGGCCTCCTCTCTATAAACTCACACAGTCTCCCAGACAGAGTGACAGACCTGGGAGGTTCACACCGTCCGTCTACTGCTGTTGCTGAGTTCCACTGTGTCGGGACCGACGGGCCCACAGCTGACTCTCCAGAGGGTTTTCACAGCCAGTGACTCACACCTATCTTTCTCTGGGGGAGTGGCCAGTGGATTTGAACTGTGTGCCTTTGATTTGACAGTGCAAATCCTTAGACCCACCCCTGCCCCGAGCTCTTTTGTCTCCTACATAAGAGTATATCACAAAAGCTGGCTTTCCCTAGTCCAATCTCATCTCCAAAGTGGTTTTCCAGCAGCTGTGGTAAAGGGTGATACTCAGTATAGAGAGATGGCCAATCACACCACACGCTCACACGCACCAGGTGCCCAGGGCTGAGATGTTGGCACAGGGCAGACAGCCTTCCTTCCACTCCACACAAAGTTACAGTGTTACAACTCCAAGACAAGAAGCAGAAGCTTCCACAAAGCATTTTCCCATTTTAGGAGGGAGTTCTCGGA